GGGTATAGAGTTGGGAACAATCACTTTTTTTGTCATGTCATTTTTGATACTAGAAACAACAATAATACCCAGTAGTATATCTCTCAGGGATAGAACACAATTCTTGATCAGCACCACAAGAAGCGGAAAAAAAAATTCTGAGATAGGAGAATATTACCAGAACCAGACCGAATATGAGTAGAGAATAACCAAGATACCAAGAATAACTAAGATAGCAGACCTGGTCCAAAGAATAACCAGCAACTTGAGAGGAGAAAGCGCGATAATCGCACAACTAAGAAGGTGGAGGGCGCACGGCCGCATGGAAACCAAAAATCAAATCCCAAAAAGCAGAAAAAACAGGTGGATTGAAGCAGAATCTGTGTGAAAAAGGGGCAAAACCAGCAAAACTAGCAGCATGTGTGAAAACTAGCATAAACCAAAGATTAAAATAGTAGAACCCGCGCACGAAACAAATCCCTGGCGCAAATGGCTTTGCACGAATCAAACAATCGGGTCAGGTCGAATAGCCGTCTGTGAAGAGAGGCGCAAATCAGCGGTTGTGCATTAAGAAGACAACTGGGTTAGGTCGAACAATTGTGCCCGAAGAGAAGGCTTGAATCACCGGCTGTGCGCAAAAGAAGTTATTGTGCGCGAGTCGGAAGTGCAAAACAACTGCTGTGCGCGAAATGGTTGTGTGCGACCGGAGCAAGAGATTCAGGTAGGGCGGAGATGCTCACTGGAGAAGTGCAGCCGGTCCGCAGTGAAGCTGTAGCTCCTTTTTTGGTTTGGTGTTGAGAATATTTTAAGGTTTGAAAAAAATCTTAAGAATTAAAACCCTAAAATATCTTTATTTTTACGCTGATACTATGTAGAAATTTGGGAAAAATATTTACATTTTATTTTTTTCAACTTTAGGTTTTACAACTGACTTGTATATATACAAAACTTCCTAAGTACCAATAGAGAAATTTTTCTTATACTAAAGATTCTAAATAATTATGTCATTATGGAGAAAATAAATGGTAAAACTATATAAGGAAAAATATCACGGTCATTTAGGTAACAAAATATTAATGTCAACAGTTACCTTTACCTTGTGATTTATCTGATAAACCTATTGTTCTTAGAAAAGGAATCAGGACTTCCACTAAACGTACTAGTCTAATTTTGTTTTTTATGACTCTATATCTCTTTCCTATAGAGTATTTGTCTTGTCAGTTTTTTTAAGTTTATTTCACATGATTGAAAAGAAACTCTTGGAGATTTCAAATGTAAGGAAGTTATGATTGAAGAAATGAAAGTTTTATCAAAAAATGAAATATTGGAACTTGTTTCACATCCACAGGGAAAGAGATGGTTGGTCACAAATGAATGTTTATTGTGAATCACAAACTAGACGGGTCGATTGAAAGGTATAAAGCCAGACTGACGGTTAAAATGTTTACTTAGACCTATGGAGTTGACTATCAAAAGATATTTACACAAGTCGCGAAGATGAATGCAATTAGAATATTGCTGTGTTGTGTAATTAGTTTTGATTGAGATTTACAACAGATTGAGGTGAAAAATGCCTTCTTCATGGAGACTTAGAGGAAGAGATAGACATGGAAAATTTCTTTAGATTTGAAGATTATAAAACACAAAGGAAAGTTTGCAGATTAGAGAAGACCTGATACGGGTTGAAGCAATCTTCAAGAACATGGTTTGAAAGGTTTAGAAGAGTTATGATATCTTTTGAATATCAACAAAATAATATTGATCATACCCTATTTATCAAACATTATGAGGGTAGGGTTACTATTTTCCTTATTTATATAAATGATATTGTGGTGATTGAATATGATATAAAGGAGATGACTCGATTGAAAAACTTCTTACTCAAAAGTTTGAAATAAAGGATATAGAAAAATTGTAGTATTTCTTGAAAATTGAAGTTGTCAAATCTAATGAATGGATCTTCATTTCTCAAAAAAACTATATCTTAAACTTGTTAGAAGATATAGATATGATGGATTGCAAGCCAGCGGAATCTTTTATTGAAAGAAATCACAAACTACAAGCGGGT